AGGCTACTGTATCTACGACAAGTATGCCGATGATCATATCGTTCCTATTGGTGTTTTAGTCCCAATTTTTTTGTCGTGTTCTTGTTGTGTTGTGAAACTATTATGAAAAAATTGAATTATGTGTTCTTGATTTTTTTTTATTCATTTATATTGTTGTTTAGTTTCATTTTGATGCCAAAATTGGCGTTCCATACAATATCGCCAAAAGTCAAGTGGCACAGTGCAAAAGTCAAGTGGCGCAGCGCAAAAGTCAAGTGGCACAGTACGCATTTGAGTTTGCACTGCACCACTTTAGTTTTGCATTGTGATTTTTGTTTGTCTTTTTGGCGTGATATCGCCAAAAGGACAACCACAAGTGGCGCAGTGCAAAAGTCAAGTGCAGTGCAAACGTCAAATGACACAGTGCAAAAGTCAAGTAGCGGCACGTGCATTTGGATTTGCACTGCGCCACTTTAGTTTTGCACTGCACCACTTTAGTTTTGCACTGCGCCACTCGGCTTTTGCACTGTGCCACTTTAGTTTTGCACTGCACCACTTGTGGTTTGTCCTTTGGCGTTCCAAACCTACCGGCGTGAACGCCTAACCACTTGCGGAAACAGTCTCTACCGGCACGAACTCCTATTCATTTGCGGACACAGTCCCTACCGGCGCAAACGCCTATTCATTTGTGAACACAGCGCCTACCTGCGCGAATGCCTAATCATTTGCAGATACAGTCCTTACCAGCCCGAACTCTTATTAATTTGCGGACACAGTCCCTACCGGCGCTAACGCCTATTCATTTGCGGACACAGTCCCTACCTGCGCAAACGCCCATTCACTTGCGGACACAGTCCCTACCGGCGCAAACTCCTATTCAGTTGCGGACACAGTCCCTACCTGCGTATATGCCTATTCATTATGAAAATAATAATAATTATTATAATCCAATTTATGAAGCCTAATATTGAAATAGCATAGATATAGCTGGTAACATATGAAGCATAAAGGTTTAATTTTAAAACTAGAAATTGCAAATTGCAAGTGAAGTGCTGCGAAGTACAACTGCATAAAATGTTCTTCGAACAAAATTATTTATGCGAGTCAAGTGAAAATAATGAATAATAAAAATATAACAAATAATATGAGCACGACCCATTGTCTATATCGCATGTGTATAAAATGGTATTTATTTCTGAAAACACTATGCCAGTCTACAACAAGCGTCGCCTAAATGTAATAATTAGCACGTTGAAATAGGCTAGTAAATTAAAGTTTAACTGGGTTCGTAAATAATATTGGCCTCAAAATATTGTGGCTGAGACATGAGCCGATTAAATAATAATAATTATAATAATAATAATAATGATAATAATAATAATTATAATAATTATAACACTTACATATATTTTATGTTATTTATCATGTTAATATATAAAGCAAATTCATTATACTGAAGTTTTTTATATGTTGTATTTAAAAAGCTTCTATCTATTGAATTGCACACAATTTTTATTATTTTATTGAATTGCACACAATTATTATTATTATTATTATTATTATTATTATTATTATTATTATTATTATTATTATTTTCATATTATTATTATTATTATTATTATTATTATTTATAATTATTTTAATAATAAACCTTTATGCTTCATAAAGCTATTTTATGCTTGCAGCTATATCGATGCTATTTCAATGCTTTCTAAAGCTATTAAATGCTTTGGACCAATATTGTGGCTATGTGGGTGTATCATGTTCAATAAGATTGCCCCTGTTTTATTTTGTATCATTACTTTACTAGCAGAATGTTTTACTCTGTAGGTTTACTTTGTTTTATATAATTAATTATTAACTAATTATTGATAATTGCATAGATACAATGCATAGGCGGTTACATCTACAAGATAATCAAGGCCTTATAAAAGCATTATAAGTTTTATGCATAGAATGATAAATATAGAAGTTAATTATCTAACAATAAGAGTTATTATTATATCACTTTATTTGTTTGTATTGCGGTTAATCTTTCACGTTCATGACCTTTCATGATTGTTGATCGATCTTCGGATAGCGGAATGAAAGTTCGTTTGCGCCCAATTCAAGTTTGTGTGTAGATGTCGTGCTTGCCAGTACTTTATTTCTCATATCATAATATTTTAGACTGTTATAGAGTGATACATACACATTGAATTTATAAAAACTTACTAAAGTAACTCATTGTACACTGCCGTTAATTCTATTCTCCCTAACCATTAATGTAATATGTTTACCCTCAATCACTCCATTCACAATTATCGTACTCGATCCAGAAATGATATTCACATACCTAATCATAACAACAATTATTTTCAACACAATATTAGATACACTGGACCTATACTCTGGAATAATTTACCATCCCCAATTTTAAACTCAGTTTCCGTGAGGTCTTTTACCAAAAAACTCAGGAATCACCGTGTTACGCAAGACTAAAATTAATTTGATCGTGACTCGTCTTGCTTGTGTGTGTTTGTGTTTTGTGTTGGTCTGTTTGTGATTGTGTTTTTTGGGGTGATTGTGTTTTTTGGGGTGTCTGTGTGCAATATTTTTTTTAATTGAATCTTCTCGGTCAAGTGCCTTCTTCCTTTTGATTTGTTTCATAAACCCATCGTTTATAATGATCTCTGTTATTTAACTGCAAATGGAAGAAAATAAATGTATTTTTGAATTGAATTGAATTGAAAATTTCATTTAACTTTCTTTTCTTTATGTCGTTATCATCTAGTGATATAATTGCTTAACGATTACAAAAGTGTATAAGAAAGTACTTTGTTGAATATGGTTAATATCAGGGAGTTTGAGAAGGTTTAAATTGGAAAATAAAGGAGAGGAATGGGACCGTGGTGGAGCGCCAGATATGTGTTGCAGTAGCTCAAATAAGGAAGGATTAAGGAGCAGTAAAGGATACGAAGAATATTAGGGGGTACAAATGGGGATAATCTAAAAATAATACCAAGGCTTTTTGAAATTTCGTTCTCTATTTCGTGGATATGTTTTTTCCATGTAAGGCCACTGTCAATATGAACTCCTAAGAACTTAGCTGACTGAACAGAAGGTATGTCATCATTGTCGAGAAAAAAATTTAAAAGGAGTGGTATCAATACATTTTAACTTCTGTGGGGTCCCAAACAGGATGAAGTTACATTTATTATGGTTAATTGAAAGTTTATTAGCAGCAAAGTATTAGGACAAGGGAATCAGATTGGAGTTGACAGTATAAAATAATGATTGGATATTATGGTCAGAATAAAAAACAGTGGTGTCGTCAGCATAAAGGAAGAAATTAAGTAAGTAAGAGGATTGATGGATATGATTGATGTACAAAATAAAAAGGAGGGGACCCTGTAAAGACCTTGAGGAACTCCACAATTTGCTATAGTATATTAAACTCCTTTAAGGGTGGGTGTGTGATGAATGTGTCATTGCATAGTGCGCCCTCTATAGTGAAGTGATTTCGAATAAATGGTGGTAAGCGTTATATGGGCACCAGTTCCGTCAGGTCATAAATGGTGGCCGGATAAGAAAACTGTTGAACCAAGGACTGAGGTGTCTTGTTCTTACTTCAACTGTTCGTTGTATTGTAATAAGCTATATCAGAATCGGACTCGTAACAATATGTATGTGTGTGTTTGTATATAACGTGTACATTTATAAAACTTGGATGGCATCACAGTCTAAAAAAAAAACCCAAAAAACAAATACATAACATTACAATCAATATTGTCACTCTATTGGGTATCGTGGCGGGTCAGTGCATTTGTCCGAATGTCTTTTGGTCCGAAGGGCCTTTTATCCTAAGGTTCGTTGGTCCGAAGTAATTAATTCAAATTTAGACAAAAATATATTTGAAGAAAACACATATTCGGGACCACCATGCAGTAGGTCTATATTGGCTAACAATATACAATTATTGCTAGCATGACTTGTCAGCTCAGTTTATGTAACTTCCATCCAGTGTTTGAGAAATTTTAACAGATTTATTTACTTATGGCCGATGGGAAACAGCTAACTACTTCATCACTTTTACAAAGCAGACACATTGACAGTGGCGGCGAAAGCATCTAGGGGGCTGTCTCTTATACACATCTAGATGTGTATAAGAGACAGGTATACATTAGTAATGGTGTTGGAGAGCAAAGTGAGCGTGGTCGGGTGTCAATTAAAATGTTTCGAGTGGTCTATGGGGTGGATCCACCGGAAAATGTGACAATTTGGGGGTTTCAGAGGGTTACTCAATCGATTCTAAATAGATAGTCTACTAATATGATATGTATTTTTTTTCTCCCCGACGAACTGTGTTTTTTTTTTTATACTCTTCTAGGGTGGGCGGGGGGCAACAAATTTTCTAGGGGGAATTTTTCCCCACCCCTGTGCTCCCTGTAGTGCCGCCACTGCACATTAAAAGCAAATAAAAGAAGCACTATGCATGATTCGTATCATAGTACATTGAGTTTTAATTCATAATACTACTGGTAATAGTTCAACTAAAATTCTCACTGGGAACATCTCCCTATCCACGATCGAGAGAGAAATTTTACTGATGTGAGTTAGCCAGATTTTCGTACATTTCACAAAATATATTTTTTTTGGATGAGGGAGGTGACAAGAAACTAGTATTTTTTTTTACTTGGCCTTATATGTTGTTTTAGAAAAGTGATCTTTCTTAATTTACTCCATAAATTGTAAGGAATTGTTTTACTGCCGTATAACCTGCATTCCTGGAAAAAAGGATATCTGATAATTGCATTTTTTAAAGGTGATCGTCAAACAAAAACGAAACAAAATGTAATTATTGAAGTGTTGAAGGTTGCCCTTTTGGCGTTCTATAAAAGTGGGCGTTTAGCATGTGCCGCGAGAAGACCATAGCGGTGCGACTCGATGGAGCTTCAAATTATTCATGACATCACCATAAGAAGCCACACCTTCCTGGCTTGAAGTCGTGGTACAGTAATTAGAACACTATTTAGCTGCTTACTGTACTGTACCACGGAAACGGAAATTCCATTAGGGAACTATAGCGCACTATGTTTTTATTTCACAACAGCCATCTTTGTGTGTGAATGGTGCTAAGAATGATGATCAAGTTGTCACTTGTATTCATTGTTTTCTTTAACCGTAAGTTAAATTGTATATCTTGTTGAAAGTTCAAAACAACGGTACACTCTAAAAACACCTGGTCATACGTTTGACCCAAATACTCAACACACAAGAATGTCCTTGATATCTATCATTAAAAAACAAAATTTCACGAAGAGGACCCCTCCAAATTTCTCTACCACATCATCAAGTTTGCTTTTTTCAATTTAGTTGGCCCTACATCCAGAATATACGGTAGAACCTTTCTGGCCTCTGGCCGCAATCATGATGGGGTGCTGGGTTCGATCCCATTTCATTCCTATGTCATCATAAACCCAAGCCTTATGATCATCATTTTCCATTACTCACACAGGAACATCTCATAAATTTGTAGGAATCTGTCTTTAAAATACCCCCGAGAATGCAGGAAAATGCATGTATCTGATCCTCTAGGAAATAACATTTTTTCATCTACGAAATAACATTTTTTTGAACCCACAAATTGTATCACCCCCCCCCCCACTTCATCTGGACCTGCCCCTGGGAGGGCACAGTTAACCATGAAAATATTCAACTGAAATAGAACTCCTACTTTGAGACAACCTTCAGAGAACACTTTTACAGCCACAAAATGAGAAAGTATATATTTTAATATTACGAGACACCCCTATAAGGGAATAATTTTATGGTCCCAATTTTGTTCTCTTATTAGGGTTTTACTGTATTTATGACCTTAAAACAACAATCAATGTATTTCTCATGAGTCTATAGTCAAATCGGTGCACTTGTGGGTTCAAGCTCAACATCTGCTCCTGGAAGTAAATACAGAGTTAAGGAAGTTGATTAATAATCGAGTCTTTTTTGTGATAACAAATACAACAAGAAGTGATGAAGGATATTACCTCTATCTCATTCAAAATAATGGATTTGATGTTACTTCAAATGATCACTGCCAAACAAACAGTCCAGTATACGTATATCATTGTGAAAGGATTTTGTATACAGTAGGTTGATTTTGTTTTAATCTTGTCTTAGGAGTCTACAGTCAAGTCGATATCACATTTCCATCAACTGACGCTGTAGCTGGTGATGATGCCAGATTGGAATGTGCATTTAATTTAGAAACTAGGACCTACAGAGCTTCTTTTCTGATACAAAGTTATGTAGATGGACGTCAAGGTGATACACTTGTGGGTTCAAGCTCAACATCTGCTCCTGTGAGTAAATACAGAGTTGAGGAAGACTTGACTAATAATCGAGTCTTTTTTGTGATAACAAATACAACAAGAAGTGATGAAGGATATTACCTCTGTCTCATTCAAAATAGTGGATTTGATGTTATTTCAGGTGATCCTGCCAAACTAACAGTCCTGTGTAAGTATATCATTGTGAAAGGATTTTGTATACAGTAGGTTGATTTTGTTTTAATCTTGTCTTAGGAGTCTACAGTCAAGTCAATGTCACTATTTCATCAACTGACGCTGTAGCTGGTCATGATAATAATTTCTTTCCTCCTTTAGCTTCGGGTGGAAATCTCGACTGATCGAATTTTCTACACGAAGTTTACTAAGCTGGGTAGACCATGGAGTTAAAAATATTTTTAAAAAATTATTTTAAAATAATTATAACTCCATGATTGAGATCACCTGTCAAAATAATAGCTTGATAGAGATGGCTGTAAGGAAAAACATTATCAATAGGCCTACTTACTGTAAACCTATTATGGCTTTCCCAAAATGTGTATGGTGTTACACCCTGGCCCATAGAATTTTTTTGATCTGCATGGCAAGCATTGAACTTTTGGCAAGCAACAGTAAAAACACCGCCTCCTCTACGATTGCAATTGCTTGTAAAAATTTTTAACAAATTTATGGCACATAACTCAGCGTCTGAGAAAACCCATCAAGATGAGATTCAGTGACACAAAGAATGGATGGAGATCCAATACAGAGTATATTCTGCAGCCCCCTTAGTTTGTTTCCAACACTGTGCATTGAAATAAATCAAACTGGATATGGAATCATGATTGTTACCACTAGCATTGTTATTGCACTTACATGTTAGTTTGAGTGTCCAGACCTGGATTACTTTCAGCGTCCTCTGTGATTATCAATAGTTCCCGTACTAAAACACTCAACATGATTTGCATAGAAATATCATAGAATCCACACAGGGAGTGCTTTTTCTGTAAAGTTGATTGAAAATATAAAAATAGATTCTGAATAATAAAAATATACAAAAATATCCTTATAAAAATATATATAAAATATCTGGGGAGATTGTCCCATTAACTTTCTTCGAGGTTTATCTCAGTGCTCAAACACCCAGCAAAAATTATATATTAAATATTTATGTACAATCATCATTTTCAAAATATGGTTTTCATAAATCATTAAAATATAAATTGTAATGCAAATCATGATAATAATAAAAGGTAAAATTGATTGGATGTACGATCGTCAAATAAAATAGCAATTATGTGGATTTAATGACATGAAATTAATGGCAGATCAGAATTAAGAATCAACTACATTCGGCAAGCAATACCTGGTTTAGAGAGATTACTTTTATAGAGAAAATATGTTTTGTATAGACAGAAGTTCTTTATAGTTCTTAACTTGCTGTCATTTTTAGTTATCGACACTGTTACGATTGACGTTATTCCCAATCCTGTCACTGAAGGTAATGATGTAACATTTAATTGTTCTGTAAATGCGAATCCAATTCCAACAATCACTCTCTTGAAAGATGATACTGAAGTAAAAAGCGAAACATCATCAAATCTGACTTACAAATTATATAGTGTGGATAAGAGAAATGGAGGAAACTACAAATGTAAAGCAAGTAACATGGCTGGAACTAGTACATCACCAATGAAAGTGTTGGATGTTCAGTGTAAGCGATCCTAATTTTTTTTTAAATAAAGATTATATTTATTTGTAATAAATAATATTTTGAATCATGTTATTCATGGGAATATTTGTTCTTAATGACTTCAGATTCTAATTTGCAAATTTACAGGATATCCAGTTTTTGTATATAGTAGGCTACTACTAGATATAAAAGGCTTTGAAATTTGTTGGTGTTTGTGTAAATTTATATTGTATTCATTTACAGTAGTTGCTCATTATGCCGCAGTATCCTGGCATATAGGGCAGTAAATAAACAATAGATTATTGTTTTATTTTCTGAATACAAAACTTGGTAGTTTTATTGATACCTACCTGTACCTACCTACCTACCCATTATAGACAGTATAGACAGATGTTATTTATAGTACTTAATTTTTTGTCATTTTTATTTATCGACACAGTTACGATTGACGTTATTCCCAATCCTGTCACTGAAGGTAATAATGTAACATTTACTTGTTTTGTAAATGCGAATCCAATTCTAACAATCACTCTCTTGAAAGATGATACTGAAGTAAAAAGCGAAACATCATCAAATCTAACTTACAAATTATATAGTGTGGATAAGAGAAATGGAGGAAACTACAAATGTAAAGCAAGTAACATCGCTGGAACTAGTACATCACCAATTAAAGTGTTGGATGTTCAGTGTAAGTGGCCTTAAATTTTTTTTAATAAAGATTATATTTATTTGTATTATATAATATCAATGTATGCAACACAACTTTCAATCATGTTATTCATGGGAATAATTGTTCTTAATGACTTCAGATTCTAATTTGCAAATTTACAGGATATCAAGTTTTTGTATATAGTACTACTAAATATAAAAGGCCTTGAAATTTGCTGGTGTTTGTGTAAATTTATATTGTATTCATTTACAGTAGTTGCTCATTATGCCGCAGTATCCTGGCATATAGGGCAGTTAATAAACAATAGATTATTGTTTTATTTTATGAATACAAAACTTGGTAGTATTATTGATACCTACCTGTACCTACCTACCCACCCATTATTGGTATATTTTATGATTACAAAACTGGGTAGTTTCATTGACTGCTACAAAATGTAACTTTTGTATATTGACGATTCCTTCAAAATTCTGAATCCCTAATATTATATCTACTGTTCAGATTTACCGGAAATTACTTTACCTGATAACATGACTGTTACTCCTGGTGGGAATGCTTTTATTGAACCAAATATTTTAGCTAATCCTGATGACATCACCTACCAATGGATCACTGATCCTCCTGGAATTGATGATGTCGATTCAAACCCAGCAACTTTCACATTCAAGGTCCCAAACGTTGTCGACACAAACTATACCATAACGGTGACTGCTACTAATAGCATTGGATCTACAACAGAGTCAGTAATAGTCATTGTTGCAGGTACTGTAAGCTTTAGAATTTTCAGATGGTAAATTGCCAGTGAATTAACTGTTGACAACTGAAAGCAATGATGAATTATATAATAATATAAATTATCCAACATTGATATGTGATTTGGCTTAACTGTTATTGTTATAGACATTTTTTTTTTTATAGAAATATAGATATATAGATATATGATTGTGTTTGTGATGTGGTTTCATGTGGGAAAGACAATATTTCAATGGTAAACAATGCATAGCGTCGGGTTTGTCATGATAACTACCGGTTGTTTAACATTTTCCAGGCTGTCGGAAGGCACAAAAGTACGAATTATTGTCGAGGACCTAGTCTGAAGTTGGCGTGAAGTTGGCGTGAGCTAGGGTTTGAAGAAGCAGGTTATGGGTGTTCTCCTACCTATCGAGGATCCATGGGGCCATACTTGAATAGATCTGCATAATTAGCTATTTTATAGTCTTATCTAAGTTATATATTATACTCTGTTATATATATTTTTGGAGCCACACTGTACAATTACAAATTACCCTTTCGCCCCCTCCCCCAAAGGGGGAAGAGGCTATTGCAATGAGCTCCATCTGTCTGTCTGTCTGTCTGTCTGTGTGTTTTTCTCTGTCTCTCTGTGAGTGTTTGTCCTTACGGGAGAGCATAACAATTACCCCGTCCCCCGAGGGGGAGAGGGCATTGCAATAAGCTCCCTCTGTGTGTCTGTGTGTGGGGGTGTGTCTCTCGGTGTGTGTGTGTGTGTGTCTGTTAGTGTGTATGTGTGTGTGTTTGTCCTTCCTAGAGTGACTGCTGGGCTTGCCACTTGAGGCCTATACTTAGATTTTATAATGTTTTAAATATTTTCCGGCCTTATATATTTTTTTTAATGTGAAAAAAAAAATATGAAAAAGTATTACATACATTCGACCATGCCCTAATCCAGATGCTGAACAGGCGTTAATGTGTATCTGCATAGATTTAGATTTGATGGAGGAATTATAATTCCTCCATGATTTCACCAACAGTGAATGCTATGTTAGCTGACACATGCACAGGGAAGATTTCCCTTTGTTAGCTACCATCTCGTGTGAGGAAAATATAAATTTATGAATTGTAAACTTTACACTTAACATGTACACCTCTATCGCTCGGCTACATTTTACCTGATATGTACAGTTGGTAATATTACACGCCTATAATACAACAACAATTCAATAAATAAAATAGACATTTATTTTCTTCCAATTGTAATCAAATAACAAATCATTAAAAAACAATTGGTTTCTTCTTCTGAATTTAGCGCCAACTTCAAAATGAAGGCTTCGGCTCGAGCTTCATCCGCAGATGGGGGTCTCATCCGGAAGTATGGAGAAGTATATAAAAGTTAAATAAAAAAATAATGAAAATAAAAATAAATAAAACAAATACCTGTAACCCAAGGCGGGGCCCTTGCAAGTACTATCCCTCAAGGGCCGGAGGGACCCAGGAGCTCATCTTGGGCAAGGCCGCTCAATTCCTTGGGTAAGGCCATTAGCCTAATACTAATGGAACTTACCAGATTACCCATAGCCCCTATCGCCCACAGGCAACGCAAACAATTCAGCAATTAAAAAAAGCAATACGAAGAACAATAAATAAGTATAATTGATGGGAAAGACAATTACATTGGGTGTGTAAGCTGAGTGTGAACATTTTAACTACGGAGATTGCAAGCACTAAACACTCCGGTAATGTGACCCAGACAGACGCTGTTCTTGGAAAGAATGAGTAGTTGTAATAGATTAAGAGACAAAATAAGGGACTTGCGAGAGAAGATTCACTAAAAAAATCTAGTGATGGACAGGCCTGAACACAAACTCACAAAAACACACAGAGACCCAAACTGCCATTATTTCTATTCTCCCCAAACATCTAAGTAACATGTTTACCCTCAATCACTCAATTCACAATTATCGTACTCGATCCAGAAAAGATATTCGAATAAGCCTACCTAATCATAACACTAACTATTTTCAGCACAATATTAGATACTAGTTCTATACTCTGGTTTAATTTACCATCTCCAATTTTAAACTCAGTTTACGTGAGGTCATTTACCAAAAACTCAGGAATCATCTTGTTTCGCAATACTAAAATTATTTTTAACGATCGTGACTTGCTGCTCCTTCTTGAAACCATATTATGTTGTCATGCTTGTGTGTGTGTTTGTGTTGTTTTTGGTTTGTTTGTTTGTTTGTTGTTGAAAATGTTAAAATTGGAAAATAAAGGAGAGGAAACAGCGGATCGAGTGCATCGACTGTACACAAAGATATCACTTAACAGGGCAAGTACTTATAACAAAATTCTGAAACATGTCAATTATGAGTATTTTGCCGTAGGATTAAAAATCCAAAACGGTGCTGGGTTTGGAGCCTGTTCTTCGTATGTCATTCCATTCATAGAAAAAGCCAATAAAGAAAGTATACCAGTCATTAATGTTTAATTTAATGCTATATATATA